GTTGTGAGCCAGAAGATCATCTAGGCTAGGGACAGACATTCAAAAAGCCTGAGCCTGAATTGATTCAGTCTCTGCAGGTTAGTCTAACTGGCTAGGCTAAATCAGCTTTGGAACCAGACAGATATCCCAGACATGCAGGCACATGCCTGCAGTGGCTCAGGCTAGAAGCCAGGGGGTGCTAGAGCAGCCCTCCCTTCCTTTCCATATTGCTGAGCTGAGGGGGGCATGGCCAGGCCTGGGCAGGACACTGATTAGGGAGGGGATCCCTCCCTTCCTGAACAGCCCAGCAGGGGATGTTTATCACCTCTAACTCAGTGTTTATCACCCAATTATGAAACTATGATTAAGAAAACAGAGGGACATTACCAGTTATTTGTTGATTCTGCCTTTGTCCTGTGTGCCACAGCTGGAAATAGCCAGCACATGGTCTGCTAGCTAATGCTGAGAAGTGTCTGTGAGGAATGGGGGAATGCCTGCTTAGCAGAGAGCAGACACTGCTGTGCCTGCAAGTCTCTGCTGAAGCTGCAGCCAGGGAGCAGGGGGGAGGGGCCAGCCCTATTGTGAAGCAGAGAGCCCACCCAGCCCAGAGAACATGCTGGGATGCTGGGGGAGTCTGATTTAATTTAAACCAGCAAGGGGGTCTGGGACAAACATTGAATAAACCAGTTTGAGCCAAATCAGTTAAGTCTGTTATTACATTCCAGCAGGTTTATCTCAAACTGGTTTCAGCCATTCTCAGACTGGTTTATGTGGATGGATCATCTGTTCTATTACAAGTTTAAGCCAGTTTCTGATCACTTAGACTGGTTTGTGTGTAATGTCTGTTCCTAGCCCTAGTCCCATGATTCTCAGTCAGGGTGCTACGGCACCCTGGGTGGCTCTGAGCACCTTAGAAGGGTGCTGCAGTGTTCAGCCCATGTGAAAGGTTAGCTCTAGCTCTTCCACATGCTGGGCACCTGTGCCTGCCCCAGCATCCCAGCAGCACTCCCCAAAGTCTCTCCCACTGGCTTCAGGATCATGGGAGGAGTAGGAGAATGAGCTGCATTGAAAAGCACAGCTGCACCCTTACAATGACTATCCTTGTGTTCTGAGTGGTGCAGTCTGTCACAGGCAGCTGCAGGGCCACCCTCTGCTCCTCCCATGTTCCTGGAGCTGGTGGGAGGGGCCACAAAGAATGGTGGCTCCAGGCACTGGCATTCAAGTCCTTGGGGAGCAGCCACAGTGGCAGGGCCTACACATACTCCCTTAGGGAGAGGGGCAGACAATGGAAAGAGCAGGGAACGGCAGGTTCTGTCTGGCCACCAGCACCTTCCGCCTCCTGCTGGGACAGCTGCCTGCCCCACTCCTGAGCTTCCGAATATGTACTGCCATGCAGTACCTGCCAGTACCATGCACCAGCCCCTGCCATGGTCTCAGAAGTGCTCTGTTCACCCTTCCACTACGTGAGGGTGCTGCAGGGTGTGAGGAGGTAAGCACTGTAAGAAAACAAGTAGTCTTTATAAAGGGTGCCACTAAATTCCAGAAAGTTAGAGGGGTGCCTCGAGTCTAAACAGGTTGAGAACCACTAATCTAGTTTGACACTCCGTGTATTTTGGGCACTACATTTTGCCCAGTTTACCCCTGCATAGGACACCATTCTCTCTGTTTGCATGAAACAGATCTTCCAGAAAGGTATCCAGTTTTGATATGAGGATATTAGGAGATGGACAATTCACTGCTTCCCTTAGTATTTTGTTCCAATGCTTAATCACTCTCAATGTTAACATTTTGGGCCCAATTTCTAATTTTAAATGTGTTTGCCTTTAGCTTTCAGCCACCTGTTCTTGCTTCTTTCTGTTAAAGAGCTCTTTAGTATCCCATACGTTTCCTTATGAAGGAACTTAGGAATTGTAATCTCTCAGTCATCTTTTTGATAAGCTAAACAGATTCTCTCTTTGTCATTTGTTGTAAGGCATTTTCTCCCTCCTGCAGATAATTTCTGTTCCTGGACCTTCTCCATTTGTTATCATCCTTTTGAAAGTATAGACGCTGAAATTGGATGTAGAATTCTAGCATTGGTTTTAGTGACAGTGTACAGAGAAGTAAAAGCACCTTTATATTCCCCTGTCTGTCCAGCCAGTGATCCTGTTCACCCTTTTTGTCACAGCATCACACAGGAGTATCATGTTAAGTTGCTTATGTACTATAGTCCCTAGGTTGTTTTCATAAACATCACTTCCCAGGATATAGTTCCCTATTTTGCGGATTGGCCTGCATTCTGCATATAACTTTGTATTCACCTGTATTAAAATGCATTTTGTTTGAATCAACCTTAGTCACCAAGCAGTTCAGATCACTCTATATGATTGCCCTGTCCTCACTGCTATTTGCCATTCCTTGTTGCCAGGTGTGAAGAGATCCTTTCAAGAGGTGCCCTACTGACCTCAGAGCTAGTATTGTAGTAGACCTCTGCCTTCTATGACCTGGCCTGCAGGAACTTCAGCAGGGCTGTGTATTTCCTGGTCTTGCACACCTAATCATTCTGCAGCCTGCTGTGGTGTTTTGCATCAAGGATGTAATACAAGTATAGAATTATACTCTCCATTTGACTAAATAGTTCTGATAAACATTCATCCCTACACCATGGGTTCAGTAATTCTGTCTTCACTTAACAGCAAAGTAATTCCAGCTGTGCCGCTTCACAGAATTGCTACCCAAGCCTGTCTTGACCAGAAAGGTGTAGCTAATTAATCAGAATGCAGTCTGGACCATTCAGGTGCACTTGGTCCTCTGGTGAGAAAGACCTTTAAGAATCTAGACAGAGGGAATAAGTGCATTGAAATTCATGCCTGTATCAGCACTAAACCTTCACCCCTGCAAAGGTGAACATTTTTAACAAATCTTTTCCTATGAGAATCTACATCAGTTACGTGAAAACAATCTGTCATTACAGTCAGCATGTAATGGTCCCTTCAGTCTTTTTTGTCTGATGCTTTAGGGGAAGGCTTCGCAGCAATCTGACCAAACCTATGAAAGCTCTTCACAGGCTTCCCAGGTTGTACTTTTCTGGTATTTTTTTAATGGATATAATATCACAATTCAGTAGCAACAATATACCGCCAGGCAATAAACATGCTGGCAACAATTATCTTCAGCCAAACTGGGCTCCTGCTAATAACAAATTCAAATAAGGGTCTGATCTTGTCAGGTGCTGAGTATTGACAGCTGCCATTGCCTTAAGTGGGATTATTCATGTGAGTAACTAAGCAGGATTGGGCCGAGGGCCTGCATGTTTCTGTGCACATGCATGATGTTCATTGCACCGATCAATATCTTCTCTTCCTGCATTTAACCTGCTCTTTAGATAATCACCCATTATCTGCGTCCACAAACCAAAATATACTTGTTACCTACTGCAGTGATGCAGAGTCACTAACTATATGGCACTTTTTCTTACCAGGCTTTCACTGATTAAACTGTTTGTTCCACCCTTTCAGTTGAAGGGTGTGTGCCTCATTCTGTGAAAATGTTGTAGTTCCCTTCTCAGACCTATGTTAAACACATATTTCCTTTTTCTTGTCGGATATGTCAATGCAATGGAGAAAATCCGACTTGCTCTTGTGTATGAGTCAGAGATCAGTGTTACACCGTTAGCGTCTCTGCAGCAGTGAGATGGGCATCCCCACTGCTGAACTTGTGATTAGGGAGGGTCTAGTTCTTGGGGTGAATGTAAGGGTGCATGAGGCAAGGATTGTGGCAGGGAACTGCTCAGTGAACAGTTGTGATTGTTGTTATTTTGGGATGCCTGCAGAGTGAAATGGCAACTACCCTTTTCCAGCCTTTCTACTGGATTTCCTCACTATGTGTATTTTAGGCATTGAGGTTACCTTGCTGCTCCTTAGTCTTTAGCAGGATACCTGCCTCTCTCTAGGATTTATCCTAATGGATTGATAAGCATATTGTCTCATGTTACTCTGGGAAATATATTTTTAAGTTAGACTTGGACAACATGATGGAAAGCCAGCTAAAGAGCTTGTGAGAGATGGACTGCAGTTATGCTGCACTGACACACCTCTAAATGAGTGATAATGATGTATTCTAGTTGTGAAGCCATCGGAAATGTTTCATGATACCAGATAAGGCAGACCATAACTTCCTCTTCTTGTGCTTTGTGGGGCTCAGCTGCTGAAGAGCCTGCCTAGTCCATTTAGACAAGCCTGTCACCAGAATGGATCATGAAATAGTGGGAGGCTTTGTCCTGCTGGCCATAGTCACTCTGCTAAGTGTTATCCAGAATGGTAAGCAAAAATTAAGCATTTTTTAGGAATAAGAGGCAACTGAGGAGAAAAAGGAGACTTCTTAGTTAATATCATGTATTGAATATGAATATAAATTGATCTTATTTTAAAACACATTTTATCCTATTGCATATCAGCTTGTGTATAGATGCGTGTGGTGGGGTTTATATACTTGTTTGGTTTCAGAATTTCTTTCTGAGCCTCTTCTCTCTTTGGCATATCCATTTTTGTACTAATAGCTCAGTAAATTACTAGTGATACGATGCACGTGTATGGTACAATAGTAAGATTATGGCTTGCATATCAGTTTGTGAAAGGGATTCTATGATGTGGTTGCCTGCAATAGGTCCTTTCCAATCTTACGGGGCTGTGTTCCTAATATTAGTAGCTACTGCTTTTTCTTGCTCCAGAGAGAAAGGTTTAGGGAGCCGAGTGACCGATACGAAACAACAGATCAGATCTTCAGTTGGATCAGTGAGTGTTACTTCACTGAGTTCATACTAGCAGGACTCTAGCCTGGTTTATTTAGGGTTAACCAGTTTACTAAGTTTCAGAAACTCATTCTTCAGCCCTTCAGTTTTACTACTCTTAACTATTTCCTGTTGTAAGCTTCCTTCATGAGAAGAGTTTTCTATTTTATGCTTTCTCTTTCTTATCTCCAATTCAGTTTCCTTTAAGATTTCTTAAAGTTAAACTAAGATTCTACCCAGAATACAAACAGGGGACAAGTTGTGTTTAATTTTCATCTTTTGCATTGACACACTCCCAAGTTCAAAGGGATCTGGAGGTGAGATAAGAACCTGTGAGGTGAATGCCTCAATATGGGCCTGAACAAAAACCTTTGGCCGTTAGTGGGAAGACCTCCATTGAGTTCAATGGTTTTTGTAGCTGGTGTTGTGTGCAGTTCTAAGGAAGCAGATTCATGTGCTGGAGTAAGTCGCTCTCAAGCTGTTCTGGCTTTGGGAGAGGGTAAAGCATAAGAAGAACCACAATATTCAGAATGAAGAAGCAGTAGAGCTTTGTAGGTGTATATGTCTGTGGTATCATTCAACCAAATTCTGCCATCAGGTAGGTAGACTACATTTGGCATGTCCAACAGCAGAACTGGGCTCATTGCAATCAGCGTGTACAGTGCAATTTGAGACATGTCCAAATATGTTTCCTGTTCTTTTCCCAGAGGTGTTTGTGGTGTCCTGATACAATTCTTGACTTGGCCACCTAGGAAGTTCATACAGTTCAGTGCCACCCTTATATATGCTCCAGATAGTATTGAACTCTGCATGTAAACTCATTGATCCAACTCCTTAATGCTAGCAGAGCTGAGCATGGCAGTGGATCCAAGTTGAGAAGATGGGCAGAGGTGATTTAAAGCCATCCTTTCTCTCCCCTGATAGCGGATCTAGTCTGGCTCTTGGTGCATACTTAAACACCTGAAGACTATTTTGTTCTGTTCTGTTCTATTATACCATTTTACTCCAATTGGAGCCGTCTGGGTGCAAAGTGCTCTGGGGATATAACTCCTGCAATGAAAAGAACTGGCAAGGCTCTATGCCAGGTGAGGTTCCCCTTTGCTGAATAGAGTGGCACAAAGAATTTGTATGGGGTTATAGAGCTGGCACATGGCAGGATTTTGTCTTTGCTGCCACAGAAGGGGTGCATTTACCACAGAATAGCTAACCAAGTAGCGTAATTTTTTTTTGGGGGGGGGGGAGGAGGGTGAAGGGAGTGATCAAACCTGTGTCATGTTGGGGGAGCTTGCACTGAGGTAGCAGCAGCCTGTTTCACTGCCACCATAGCCTGTGGGAGGAGGTAAGAGCCTCCCTTGCACCACCCTGGCAACCAAAATTCAGTCATGCCTTTGACCTGATGTGTTGCTTAGGGCACTGTAGCTTCTGCTGTTGGATAACAAGGCAAACACAGCACTATGCCCTCAACAGGGGCTGACTTTGTGTCACATACCTCACAGCAAAATGACAGCTCATTTGACAGGATAGGACCGAGCACTGCTTCCCTTGGAAGTTGGTTCCAGATCCTAGCTGCCCTGACTATGGAGTAGTGCCTTCTAATGTCCAGCCTGAACCTACTCTCAAACAATTTATGGCCATTATTCCTTGTTACTCCGGGCGGTGCTCGGGGGAACAGGGTCTCTCCCATTCCCTGCTGGTCCCCCCTGGTTCATAAAAAGTGCAGTAAAAGTGAATGTCAAGGAAATGAAATGAAGCTGAGTTATGCATGCCCCAAATCCTTGCTGTGCCTATCTTTCAGTAAAGCCTTTTTAAGCAAGTGCTTAAGTTATCTTTAAACACATGAAGCCAGTGGAACTCAAATGTGCATTTGCAAGCTTTGCTGCAGCAGGTGCTGTTTCAGAAAATAGTCTTGCCCCTTTTGATGAGCGTAGAGGCAAATTATGGGGCCTTGTGGTGGCTCCTTGTGGGAGGAAGATTCATAGCAGGCTAGAGCTGAAAGATGGCATTTTTTAAGACTGATGCTATCTGCTCATCCAATTTAGCCATTTTGATGAATGAGGGGGGTGTTATATGTTTGGATGGAAAGTGGAGATGACATTTTTAGTTGGCTTTTCAAAGTATTTCCACTTTCCAGGGACTTGTCTGGGTTCAGATGGAGCTGTGTGTTCTTCACCCAGAAGCTAATTTCCCATAGACTTTCTGATATTTTAGAAGAGGCAGTGGCTGCCTCAATTTGAGATTGAGGTGTATAGTTGATTATCAGCATACTATTGGCTGCTAAATCTACCTTATCATACTTCCACTAGTGATCTCATATAGATTTTCGATAGAAGAGGGGATACGATACAGATCCCTGCATGTGAACCTATATATGAGGACTTTTCGAGAAAGACCAGTTACCAGTTCTGCTGGTGACAGGCAATTGGCGCATTGGGACATCAGTTTCTGTATCGTGTTGGTATGCTAGTAGTCCATTGTGTCAAAGGCTGCAGAGAAGACAAGAAGTATGACCATGGATGTCTTACCTGCGTCCATGTCACTTTGATACATCTGCCTTTGCTCAGCCCTGATTTTGAGGCATCCTTGATGCTGGCTAATGTGATGTGGTTGGACTTTAGTTGTAGGTTACCGCTGCTGTTGATTCTCTCTATAATTGTTTATATACATGGCAAAAGCAGGTTAGAGAGGGGAATTTCATTATTTTGATGTTTGCTTTTTTTCCAATCCTGAATGAAAAACCCAAACTTATCATTCCTTCAGAGCTCTCTCCAGAGCCACAGACCTCAGAAGCCCTCACGTTCCTAACTTAGCATTAGTTTATATTGTGGCTGTCCCAGAACCAGAACTGGGTCCCCAATTCAGAAACAATCCTCCTAGTGGGCTGCCTCAGCTGTGGAGCCTGCAAGTCCCGAAGTCCTGACCCCTGAGACAACCCTCCTCTCAGACTGTCCTCTGTGAATGGACTCTGGAAGCCAAGGCTTCCCAGAAGTCTGTGATATCTCATTGCCTTAGATCTGCAACACAGATTATGAATGATTCAAAACACAAGCTTCCTGTTCCTTCTCAGTTCTTTATCACCTTTTACCCAGAGGACTTTTTTCTGATTACTTGGAAGTTTCACTGAGCCAAAGTTGAGTACTGGGATGAGTGGACATGGGTTTCCACTAGGGCTGTGAGAAGCTTCGGTCCCTGATTTGTTTCGGTGGAGATTCGGCCTAATTTGGCTGAATCTTGGAATCCAAATTGAATCAGAGGACCCTCTAATCTCTCCAAATCAAATCAGAACCCTCCAAATTGATTTGGAGAGAGTTGGAAAGATTTGGACATAGACACAGCTTTAAATGTTTTTTCTACATAACTCAAGGTACCAGGCGGCTCACGAATGCTGTGATGCTGGGGCGGATAGTGTGTCTCCATCTGCCCCAGCATTGCAGTGATCACAAGTCACGCTGGTACCTCGAGGTATGTAGAAAAAAACATTTAAAGCTGTGTCTATGGCCAAATTGTTGATTCTCCAAATCAGCATCAAATCTTCAGATTCGGATTCGGCTGAATTGAATCGGGGACAGTGATCTAAATCAATAAATCGAATCAATGTCCCTGATTCAGGCCAAATCCGAATTAGATGGGGTCAGCTTCGCACACCCCTAGTTTCCACCACACTGACCACTGTGATATTACTAAGCTTTAAGCTTTACTCTATCAGTCACAACCATTTTATGCGCTGGGGACCACTAGTTATACTGTTGTATCAAAATTCAGTGTGTATTAAATTTGCCTTGGAAACAGGGACAGGGATTATATTGTGTCTGTTTCAGCTGAGGAGTCCATACTGAAACCACAGAGATAAAAGGCAGCTACCTTATCTCTACAGGGATCATGAGAAGTGGTTATATTCTTTCAGATCTTGACTTTACTGTGGGGTGAGGTAGCTTTACAAAAGCTACTAGGAAATTGTGAAGATCACACACTAGAAATGCAGAGTCAGCTGTGGTACACATTTCCTCAACATGGGCTTGGCTCTGTGTGATGTGACATAGAGATAAAACAGCAAAGTATACTTTTGTTCTGTGGGCAGTGGGCTCAGCAGTGAGGCCAGGCTGATTTCCTTTCATAGAGTGTGTAACATTTTCAATAGCTACTGCAGGGCAAATTTTTAAATTAAAATGGATCCTTAAACTTTGATGAGGAAGCCTTCTAGCCCACGTTCTACTGCTGCTTATACCAACATGCTCCTCTGGTGCTGAGTGGGGTATGTGGGCATCAACAAGGGTTGAATTTGACCCATTACCATGAATTTGACACGTGTCCAGTTTAAATCTCAGAATAAACTTTTGCCTGTCTTAACAGCCTTTTTTGCTAGCAAAGTGGAGCACGAAAGCAAGAGCTATAATGGTAAGACTCTTCAGCGGACAGGAGCCTTTGAACGAGTTTTCACTGCCAAGTGAGTATGCAAACCAAGACCGTACAAGGTGGCAAGGTGGAAAGTGGTGCTTACATCTGAGTTTAATCTCTGCCTTCACTTGTGGCCTGATTCAAACTTCACAGAAATCAAGACAAATCTAACAGTGGACTTTGGATCAAGCCACTGATGAAGATGATGATGTTGGTGATATTATAGCAGTATCTAAAGGCTTAGCAGTATCTAAAGGAGCAGGACCCTAAAGTAATAGGTACTGTACAAACACACAGTAAGAAAAGACTAGAATCTAAATAGGCAGGGTTATAGAGATGTGAAGTGATCTGCCTAAAAGGGTAATGTCAGAATTAATCTGAGAACCATTGTCTCCTGAATCTCCAGATCACTGAATAGGACACTTGGTGATGCTGCTGCTCTAGTATGTCCCTTTGCTTTTGTCTTGGACATCCTTAAGGAGAAGATAAAATTTCCTGCCTACCAAGAAAGAAGAAGACACAAAATGACTCTTAAGCACTGGAAATGTGTTCTGCAGTTTACAGTGAATAAAAATACTGCCCTCTGTGGGCCTCCAAATATTTTCTCTACAGAAAAGTTCCCATTTGCACACAGTGTAATAAATAATTCCTTTTACCAAGCTATTGAAAAAGCAACATGGGAATTTTGTGAGGTTCCTCCTTGCTATGATTCTTATCTTTCTATCTGAATTATACTGTTTCACTGTCAACAGCTTGATTAATATGACCAGGTTCATAAGTACTGCCCAAGTTAATACAGTGGATCAATTATATCGTATAAGCCATGATGGACCACAATAGTAGGGGGAGTGCATTATGCATTGCTAACTATCTCTAAGGAGGTAGAACAATACCACCTATTATTTTACAGAGGTAATAGGTAGATAAATCTACTACAGCTCTATTGTGCTTTTGAGGAATAAAGATATTTGTTTCAGTTCTCAGTATGCTTTTAATCTGCCCCCTTTTAAATTCCTTCCTAGCCAAAACTGTGAACATGCATATCCTACATTTCTTGCTGTGCTGTGGTGCGCTGGGCTGCTTTGTAGCCAAGGTAACATACAGTCTTTTTTTTTAACTGTGTGTATTTGTCTGAGGTTCAGATTAATATTTTCTTTTAACAGTATTCCTGCCCTTACCCTACGCTCCAGACAGTTGCTAATGCACTAATGCTCTTCATTCCTCTTCTGAGTTACATTATGGGCAGGGTTATGATTAAAGGTGATCTGGATTGGTGAGAAATCTGGCTGGAGCCCCAAAATCATTCTTATTGGAAAGTAAAGTCAATTGGCCGGAGGAAGAAAGGCCTCTACTTTGGAAGGGAGCTAGTAGGGTAGCCAGTCCATCTCATCCACCGGTGAAGTTGGACTAGGAAGAAGTTGTTTTGAGGACCCTTAATATTTCTGCTGGGAAATGGTGCCTGGCCTGCAGGGGCTGGAAAGGAAACCTCTGTTGCTGTATTCTAGACTGGCCTTCTTCCTACCTGTCCCAGCTCAGCAAGGTGTTTAATTATATGCCTCACTAAGCATTGGAAAATAGTTCCACTGAATTCAGACAGCATTTTCATAGGCTTAATATCAGGAACATGCTCAGGGGCCTCACTTAATCGGAGCTTAAGCTGGGCTGAAATTTGCATTCCCAGAATGGTCCCTGCTCTGCTCCTGCTGAGCTTCCTGCTTGGGGGTTCTAGTAAAACCATACCATAAGCCAGATGCTGCTCTTGGACACATGGACTGCAGTATTTGGCTTATTTAAAAGCAGAATACAGCCCTGCATGTGATCCCAGTGCTGGTTTCCCCTCTGAGTAAATGCATGCATTTGAGTGGGCCATGGTGCAGAGTTTAACCCACAGAGTTCACTGTGAAGGTGGCAGGAAAACAAGTTGTAAATTCTCTACAAGTTTGATTCTTTGGTTCCACAGTTCATCCTTTTTTTCAAAATTAGAGTTTCCCAGTATCCCCAGTCTGGACTTTATGTACTGTGAGGTCTACACAGGAAGCTTGAGCAGCCATCTCTAATATGTGTGTTTTATTCCTTTATTCAGTTCCCGCTGCCTTTGCTGGATTGATGTACTTGTTTGTGAGGCAAAAGTATTTTGTTGGCTATCTGGGAGAAAGGACTCAGAGGTAAGAATTTCCTGGAACTCTTTATAAAGGGTAGGGCAAGGTCCCAGCCTGTCTTCCAACCTCACGCATTAGCATGGTTCAAGTGGGAATGGACCTGTTTCAATAGGAATGGTCAAGCTACTGATCCACACTGGTGCTACTTTTACTTGTATATGGTTTAAGACTCCTGGGGGTGCACACCAGTATTTCTAGTATTGCCATAAGCTGAGTCATTCTGAATTTTTTCCGAGAATATCGTGGGAATATTTTTTTCCCTAGAATAGTGTGTCTCCACTGCATCCAGCAGCTCATAAGTTAGTTACTTTAGCAGCAGTTTAAGTCTATAGCTACTAGGGGTGTGTGAAGCAAGACCTATTCAATTCAGATTCGGATTCAGCCTGAATCAGGGACAGTGATTCAATTCCTTGATTTGGATCTCTGTCCCTGATTTGATTTGGCCAAATCCAAATCTGAAGATTCAATGCTGATTTGGAGTATCAGCGATTTGGACACAGACACAGCTTTAAATATTTTTTCTACATACCTCGAGGTACCAGCACAGCTTGTGAATGCTGTGATGCTGGGGCACATGGAGCATCCCACAGGAGTGTGGGGGGTGACTCCCAGCGTGCTGCCTGGCAGACTTGGAAGTGGACCGGAAGAGCTTCTAGTCCACTTCCAGGTCTGCTGCCAAGTGCACTGGGGAGCTCCCAGTGCTCCTATGGGACACCCCATGTGCCCCAGCATCGCAGCGTTCATGAGCCACCTGCTACCTAGAGGTATATAGAAAAAACATTTAAAGCTATGCCTGTGTCCGAATTGCCAAATCTTTCCGAATCTCTCTGAATCGATTTGGAGGGTTCCAATTCAATTTGGGGAGATTAAAGGGTCCTCTGATTAGATTCGGATTCAGAGATTTGGCCACTGAATTGGGCTGAATCTCCGCTGAATCGAATCGGGGATCAAAGCTTTGCACAGCTGTACCAGCAACATCATATTAAAAGCACCACCGCACTTGAGTTAAGGGTTTTTGTGTATGGGTGGGAGCAGTTAGAAATAACACGTAAGCCAGGGATGTCCAGCATCCAAGTGGCCAGGGTCTGCACATCCCACAGGCTGCATCAATGAAGGCCACACCATGGTGAGCCACACACCTCAGGGCCACATGGACTTCCCTACTGCTACACTGTGCATGGCTCCAGACTCACTCTCTGTTCCCCACACTGCACTGCCCTAATCCTGGGAGTGTTCATATGTAGGAACCTAGGGGTGTTGCAACTTAACCCCACGTGGGCTACATGCAACCCATGGGCCAACAGCTGGATGGCCTTGGCTTAAGCTATAACTGGAATTAATATTGCAGAGAGCACAAATCCTTTCCATCATACAAGCCCATCTGGTTTGAACATCTCATCTAGTATCTGGTGGGATAGAGGCCCCACCAAATAAGGCTAAGATTAAGACTGCTGAAAGACTTGAAATAGAGCAGAATTTATTTCCTGCTTCTTAAGCAATGCTTTGTACCAGAAGTGCTTGTGAGGTCTAAGGTTTGCCATGGCTGTCTCTTGGCTCTGAGGTTGTGACTGAGGTGGCTGTTTTCCTTTAAAACCCAAATGGCCTGGAACCTACCTGAGGTACCACTACTATCCACATATAGTAATGCATCACTTGCATTTGGCAGCAACACCAAAGACCCTAACCTCCCAGCCCTGATTTGAAAGGCTGAGTGAGAACATTTTTCATGAGGGAACTCCTCCCTCCCAATTTGTGAAAGAGCCTGGATCTGCCAACCTTTAGGTCATGCTCATCAATCCTGGAGCCAGAATGGCAGGGTAGATTATTGAAGATTTGATCAATTGATCTATTTTTATTCAAGGGGTCTAAGGGCATGGAGTTCATATGTAAGGGAAGAAATAAAGTATAGGTTCCACTTTCCCATCAGTGTCTCCCATTTATTCTCCATACTTGCTTTGACAGAGATTGGGTCCCATTTTTTATTTTTTTTTTAGGAAAGAAGGTGCTTTTCCCTTGAATTATCTTGAATAATCAAAGTAAAAGCAATGAATAATAGATTTGTAGATGTTCAGCTGCCCACTCATGTAAG